AAAAAAAAAAAAAAAATCACTAAACTAACCCACAGGTCACAAAAAATCACGCAGTCTTGCAACGACGACCGTCGCTGACTATAGACTACCGACGACTGTCGCTGACAACTGAAGATTCTGACCGTAGACTACCGACTATTTGAGGAAAATTTAGAAGAGAGAGAGAGAGAGAGAGATGGAAGGTTAGGGATTAGGGTTGTGTTTGTGAGAGTTTGAGTTCGTTTTTTTTTTTATTTTTTTTAAATTAAGATAGCGGGCTGGGTTGAGAGTTGGGCAGGTTGTAAATCATAATAATTAATATGAAATTAGAAATTGATAAAAATGCCAACAAAATGACAAAATTATTAAATTTACAAAATCGGAATTTTGGAAAAATTTTTAAAAAAATCAATTTTTTATTTTATATATTTTTTTCGCCGGTCCGGTTTGGTTTGAAACTGTAATTAAAATTCTCAAACCTAAATCAAACCGTTTTTAACCGGTTTGGTTTGATTCAAAACCATTTCATTGACAGATCCACGTAGCACCAAACCGCCGGTTTCGAAATTGCGGTTTCGATTTGACGATTTTTGCTTACAACCCTAATCCTCAAGAAGGGAATGAACTCTTTCTATTTACCAAGTGAGCTCCTTGATTTATTTTTCACACAGGGAAGTTCTTTAGTTCTTGAAGTTAAAACCGTAAAGGCCACCCCGGCTTTACCATTGAAGTTTCTACTGAAGAAGTGATTGAACATAGCGGTAAATTTACGAGGGAATGACAAATGATGAGTTGTCCAAATATAATATTCCAATGAGTAACTGCTTTCAACAACGTGATATCCATACCATACAATCAAAATACAAGTTCATAGTTAATTTATTTTATTATTCTTAATTTTCAAATGGCTGATGCCCTGGCCATTGACAGGCCAGCAAATCGAAAATGTCGAGCTACCTTGTCTCACCAGAAAATTGTTGTTCACAAAACAATGAATACATACTCAAGGTCAGATAAATGATCGAATTAATCGCTTAAGCAAAACACTATTCATCTTATTCCTCTGTATCTTAACAAAATGCTGACAACTTCCACTCACAAAATATTTACTTCATGGCTTGAGAGCGACCGCCAATCCAATCTTGGCACTTTTTTCAAGTGCCCTTGTGTCGACTTCACCAGAAACTGTGACGAGAGATTTTGGACGCCATTGGTGCTGTATAAGAGCACTCGCCTTGCCATAGTTGTTCACTCGAGCTTTCAGTGTGGTTAGAGGATCCAATGAATGTTGCGTCCCAATGGTGAGAGTGTTCTCATTGCTCGAAAAGCGGTGGTTCAACTCAGCTCCGACTGCTGTGTTGGTCAATGGGCTTACTGTGTGGAAGTACGATGCAGAAAGGGAGTCCCCCTTGTCATTCCTGTGGAAAGTAACAGTCCTGAGAAACAAAGAAACAGACAAGAACCTTCCAAGAGAGGTGCAAAACCATTCAAAAATCACGCTCTCACATGCAGTACACACAGTCTCGTTTACCTCGACCACAGATGGTTAAACATACCATATTATTGTCTTTTTTTAACTGAAAAGGTACTCACAGTGCCAAGGATGCAATTAAGTCAGAAGTTGTGAGACTAACTCCCGCATTATATTTAATAAAATTCCCAGTAGCCGTGTCAAATGATACATCGGTCCCAAAAACAACAGTGTCGTTCCCAGCAACACCAGAGAAATTGACAACGGGTGTTGCTGTTAGTCCAAGGCTAGTACTAATTCCAGCATGTTCATGAAAGTACTGAAGTTCCACCTATTGCCAAAATTACCAGAAGTCAGACACGTAAAACTTAAAATACTAATTACTCATGGGATACTGCAAAATAGTGCACAAATGGCTTTTTTGGCAAGGCCGATCTTACAATATTGGACATCGTTAAAGAAGAAAAAGCTAAAATCTTGTCAAACGTACTGTCCAATACATCATATCAAACACGTCTAAAAGATATGACAAGCACACCGGATAAAGATACAGGACTAGAATACCTTGCCAGATTTTTGTTCAGGAACAATGAAGCTAAAGATACCCTTCACTCCGGGAGCAGGCTCATCAACAGTGATGGTCGTGTAAACCTACATAAACAGACAACCTTTTGAACCAAATGAGCATGTTCATTAAATGTGGTGGTTTGCCAATTTTAAAAACAGCCTCTGAAGACTAGCTCCAAATAAGAAATCCCGTCAATCTCAATAACAATAAAAATACCATATTCAATCACATTTTTACGAAATAATTATACACGCTCTACATGTTGCATTTCAAAAAATTATTTTGAAATGTGAAAAAGAAGTAGAGCCAGAAAAACAAAAAGATGTTAAACGTGAATATCACAAAGAATAATAAACAATTGCAAAGGACTTCAAAACTAATATTTATGACTGGAGTCAACAAAGTCTTGCTTATAGTCAAGTTTGTAAAATAGGGGGTGGGTTTTGGAACATCGAGTTGATAAGTTCATCAAGTGAATAACTGCATTTGGAATACTTAAGTGCATATCAGAGATCAAACCTTAAACTTCAACAGCGCATAAACATGAGTTTCATAGTTATTAAATGTCTAAAGCAAAATAAAGCATCAAGGCCTGCTGGAATTCTTAAGCACAAAGTGAGGCACACAATTCACTGAAGTGAAGTGCATACATTCAAAATAAGAAAAATCTATACGATATACATACATGATATATTAGAGAAACTTCAAAATTTGAAGCAAATTTCAGGAAATGCTTTATTTCATTATTAATTTGTGCTTACAATCTCTAAATTCAATTTCAGCAACCAAAATAAACAATATAACCAACCAAACCAAATTGATATTGGATACTGCAAAAGGGAACATTTTTAGTTTAAGTGGATCCCAAAATTTTTGGATGTTGGTTCATTATAAAAATCTCAGATACAATCTCATGAAACTGATCAGAGAAGATAACCAATAATACCTTCATATTAATAAATCTTAGCCAAGTAAAGCATTAAGCAACAATTTGTAACTTACATTAGAGTTGGTATCCACTTTTATGTCAGTTGTGATGTTGTTGTTTTTCAGCTGGGTGTTAACGTCTGCAAGCAACAACTCCCCTTTCTTAGTTCCAGTCGATGTAATAGCCTGTAGAAATCAAAATGTACCAAAACCAAATTAAATATGGTAATTACACCCAAAACCATAAGAAAAATGATTATAGGTTCATCCAGATGCCTGATAGCAAACCTGATCTTTAATGTGATTAAAAACTACTAATTAGAAAACTCACAAACTGTTATTGCAAAAGTTGAATAAAAACCCCAAGCACCATGACCAGAAATTCTTTCAATTACAATGGTAAACAATTGGTATTCAAAGCCTAACAACTTACTACATTGCCAAACTATGATGCTCATACTTCGGTATGGGTATCGGGTACGGACATGTATCTGAATGTCGGATATTTTATATTCTAAAATGTAGGATACGGGTACATGTCCAAAAATAGTCTAAATTTCAGACACGGGTATGTAGGTACGTCTTTCAAACTTCAAAAGGATTAAAATAAATGAATTCAATATTTCTAAATATAAAAAAAAAAAAAGCCCTTGTTTGATGCACATTGTTAAGAAAATAATGTATTTTAAATAATGATGTGATGAAAAATATGTGGTTAAAAAAAAGAATTTTTTTTGGATTTACGTGTAATATTATTTTATTAAAAATTATGTGGTTGAAAATGAGTATTGAAAGAATGAATTTTTTTTAGAATGTGGATCAAACAAGGGCAAAATATTTAATCCTTGAATAAACCGAGAAAATTCCAATAATAATAATAATAATAATAATAATAATAATAAAATTAGCATTTGGAGCATAGTAAATGAAACAAGAAAATAAAAATTCGTATATTTTTAGAGATAATCAACGAAAAATTATATATTTTCTTTAAACCCACAATAAAATTGGGACTTCATAATTAAGTGGGCTTATCTGCCGGCCCATTTTACACACAGAAGTGTGAAGCGGAAAACTGAAAACCCTAAAAATATCTCTACAGTCTTCGCTCAGATCAATATTCTTTTTGAAATTTAAAACAATCAGGCCAATATTCTTCGGGATAATTAGACCCAATACCCTCCAAAATTAATCAATTAGAATAATACCCTTCAACTAATTAAACTTTTACTCCCGTATTTAATACGCTCAAACCCTCCCCACTTAATCACCTGCAAATCCTAAATCATATTCCCCAAAACTACACCATTGCCGAAGGAAAGTAAAACCAACTGTGCACCCCAAAATCCTCACTAGTGCCTACATCTAAATCATCATCCCCAAGATCGGAACCAAATTCTGCTCAACAATTTCAAGTTCAACAACATATTTTCTCATTTTGATTTTATTTTTTTTTATATTTATTTATTTCAATGTGATTGAATGCATTTTTGTTTTCCTTGTGAATGAGATTTTATGCTAGTTTATTTAGTAAAATGATATTTTTTGGGTCTTTCGATTGAGAAAATGAACGTAGAAATGAAAAATGGTCTGAAAAAGACGAGAAAAAGCTATTATTCTGGGGTTTTATTAGTTGGTGTCCCTAGTGGTAGTTTGTTTTCCAAATGAATTAATTTAATTGTGTTAATAATGGGTTTATATAATTATGATTTTCAATTTATTGGGGGTAATCTTTGATAGACACTTGAATCTTTATTTTAGTTGCAACTTGCACATACATATGCTCTTTACATAGAATCATTGTTGTTCTTATTGGTGATTATTGGGATGTAAACTTAAAAGATGAAGTAATATGGTTTGAAAAGATTGTTTGCAATGAAAATTCTTTAGAATTTTATGTATTTGTTATCATACTTTGTAGATAATGCCTATTGAAATTGGAGATTTCATTATACTCAATGGATGCAAAAACAGGTTGTAAACTTATTCTCTATCATTTCCTTCCTGTTTTAGTGTTGTGAGGATGAACCTACGTACATGAAAAGGCTGCAGGAAGAAAACATGTTTTTGGGGTTGGTATTTGATGAGTTTTGTGGAATGTGATTATATGTAATGAACATTTTATCAGCATTGTGGATGTCACCTCTCTTAGCATATTAGTTCGTAACTGCCATATATGAAATAAACATTGGTTTGTCCCTTTTCTTCTTAGCAGCCTTTTGCAGTGTGGAGTCTGCCTTTTCTACTTCTTCGACATCAACGTAAAGCTTCACAAGTGCATCCCAAGTTAGTGGTCTGATCACATAACCACTCTCAACCATTCCCTTTACGAGGTCCTTTCCTTTAGCCAACATTTTATGTTGTGCATAAGCTTTTAGTAGAATCGAGGATCTTTTCATCTCATTGTATAATGTATTGCTTTAATGCTTGTACATATTTATGTACTTGGTGTATACTTGCACGTATGGGATGTATAAAATGTTCATATATGTGAATTCTTGATATTAAAATCTTGGCATTGAGTCGAATATGGAATCTTTTTCATTGGGGATGCAACTCTACAATTTAACATTAACGTATCTTAGTGGTACATTGACACAGGAGAGTTAAGAAGTTTGATCTTAGAAAGAAATTTGCCAATTTTTTGAATTTTTATCACTTCCAACTTATTGGTAATTATGTTCCTAAAAATGAAGTTTTGTTCTATTTTTAGTTAATAGAAGTGAAGCATAATCATGTATAAACAATATACAAAATAAAATCAACCATTCTTTGGATCTCTTCTAAAGTTTTGATTGATGTTGAATATTATTTCACTTTTTGGGGCATTTGTCACTTTTTGGAGTGGTTGTCACTTTTTTGAGTTTTTGTCACTTTTTTGAACTGATTTCAAGGTTTTGATTGGTGTTTTGTCACTTTTTTAGTGTCTGACACTTTTTTAAGTTTTGTCACTTTTTTGAGTTTTTATCATTTTTTTTATAATTTCTGTGACTTTATTAAATTGATTTCAAAGTTTTTAATTGGTATTTTGTCACTTTTTTCAGTCAACATTTTTTTAAATTTATGTTACTTTATTAAACTGATTCCAAGGTTTTGATGAGTGTTTTGCCACTTTTTGAATGTTTGTTACTTTTTTGAGTCCTTGTCCATTTTTTTTTTAAAATTTCTATCACTTTTTATAATGTTTGTCACTTTTTTTCTATCAATTTCTTAAAATTTTAGTCATTTTTTGAGTGACAAACGTCACTTTTTAATAAAAGTGAGATTGTATGTCATTTTTTAATAAAAAAGCGATACTTAACTTTAAAAGGTGACATTGTCAGTTTTTAGTAAAAAATTGACAGTATTTTTTACTTCCAAAATGCTTTTCATATGATTTTTCAAAAGGTTCCTAATTTTAGGGGTAATTTTGTAAGTTGCCCATATTCCTCCTCTGTCTACATAAAAAGGCCCAAATTCAAAACAAAAAAGGCCCAACATTCAAAACAAAAAAAGGCCCAAGCCCACACTCTTTACTCCTTCCCTAAGCCTTCACCAAGCTTCGCGACTTTGTGGTTTTACACTCTTGCAGCAATGGCGGTAGCCAAGCTCCAACATGTTCCACCCCTGGCTGTGTCCCATTGATTTTTGCCATGTACGCCCTATATTCCATACCCGTACCCGTGCAGTGTCAGGTCGACACAAGTACTCCGGCCGGAGTGAATTACACACTTTAAATTCGTGAACTTTTTTGAATAATGTTAAATTCTAAATAAATATTGAATTTGGTCAACATTAACCAAAGAATTAATTTAGTGGGTGGATATATTAGAAACGTTATCCATATGAATATGATATATGGAGTAGACTACAAGAGCTTCTCAGCGGTCGCACTTAATGAAACAAATTAAATTGCCTGCCTTCACAACTTGTACACATGAAAAAGGTATGGTTTCTCATAATTCATTTTATCCATATCTTTGAATGGACTTGACACCCTTAATCCGATATGGTTGGGTTTTTTGCTTCAAACCTTATGTCTTATGTTAATAGAAGGAATTGATACAAAGACAGGGGGTAATTAGTATTGGCCTTACCTCCACATTTATAACCGAGACTGCAACAAAATTAAAAAAATAAAACAAATCTGAATAAGGCCCTTGTAGCAGATGTCTGATTTTCAAGCATCTTTCAATTTTTCTGAAGGTCTTATTTTTTATCGTCTTTGTAGTGGCATATGGTTATTCACGTAAGAAATAAAAGAGCATGCACCATAAGCTCAACAGAAGAGAAAAGCTGACATAATTGGTATACCGTCACAGTAAAGCAGCTACTCTGACTACAGGAAATACATACACCAACCAATGGTAGTATGTCAACTTTCCATCATGCACAAATTTTGTGCATGCTATTCCAATTTGATTGTCTAGTCAATGCTTGGCTATACCGTTGTTAAAAGTAAAAACCCATCGCCATTAGATTGGGACATCTCGTCATGATATAGCCTGCTTATTAACTTTCATAGAAGGATAAAGTTTTATCATTGCTTTTGTAACGCTCCAAATTCTCGGAACTCGAAGCGTTCCATACCTATACTCATGTCGTGTCGAGTCGACACGGGCACTCCGGCCGGAGTGAAGAGTCCGAGCATTATAGTTGCCAAAGCCAAGACTTCAACATGATCACATTTGGGTTTAATCTAAAGTAGGTCAAACTCTTAAGTTAATTATTTGATGAACATGAATTTCAAAGCTATCGTTCTTACTATCAAATCTTACTTTTCTAGAAAAGTTATTATGCAGAATCAAACATGCTCAAGTTCAAAATTATGTCGAACTTCCACCACAATTGCAGTTGCATTTATTGGGTATTCAAATCTATATATTCCTTGCAAGCCTCTACACATATGAAGTTGCAAAGACAGGTTTACTGCTTGTTTGGTAGGGATTTTTGGGAGAAGAATTGATTTTTGAATAGTGATATGATGGGAAATGTGTGGTTGAAAAAGAAAAAAAATTATTGATGTGATGGAAAATATTATTTTATTAAAAAATGTGTGGTTGATAAATTGGGGGAAGAATTGATTTTGAATAGTTATATGATGGGAAATGTGTGGTTGAAAAAGAAGAAAAAATTATTGATGTGATGGAAAATATTATTTTATTGAAAAATGTGTGGTTGAAAATTAGAATTGATTTCCTGTAGAATTTGACGAAAACAAACATGCCCTCAGTATTGTGCTAGGAATTGTTTCAGAAATACTGCATAATATGGAGGATTAAATAATCCATTTTTCATACTTCTCAGCCTTTGCATAACTAATTACTTTAAAAGTAATTAAAAGACAATACCAATACTTAATCAAAAGGGGAAATATTGAGCAATAAATTGTTATTCCCTGCTAATTAAAAGGGATAAAAATATATGAACAACACAAGAACCATTTCTTTTCTCCAGAAGCTGAATTTCGTTTCATAAATATCATTAAACTGGACCCCTATATAACACATACAAACATGAGCATGAGTATATAAATCACAAATGTAAAAATACCTAAAGAAATATGCATTTTACTCACCACCCCATCTGCAGTGTAAGTAGTGATAGTGAATTTATGATCAGCCTGATAATCCCTGTAAAGAAGATCTGAAAAACCCACAAATATTATTTCATCACCATCAAATAAATACACACAATTTTACTCAAAAAAAGGGAAAAAAAAATACGCAAACCTATATAGATGTATATACACGTATATATCAAACCCACAAGATTAACTACCTCTGGCTTTCTTGCCAATGTCAGAATAGAGGCCTGGACCCTTTGCCATCACCATTTTCTTTTGCCTTTGCAGAAAGATAAAAAAAAAAAAAAAAAATGTAGAGAGAGAAATAAGAATGTTCTAGAGAGAGGAAGCGAGGAAGATGGTGAGTCGTCTTAGCTCCGGTGTTATTGTTTATCAAGCTACTATGATTGAGAAAATTACGTTTATGACCCTATTATTTTTTTAAAAAATGGATTATTCTTGTATTTTCTTAAAAATGTTTTGAATTAATATTTTCAGAGAAATTCTGTTATTGGAATCAATTATTAAATAGCTTTACAATTTGTGAAATGATTTTTTTTTTTTTTAAACTCGTATGAATTTATTAATTTTTTGATACCTAGGTTTCCCAACTTAGCCAGACTATATCCAGGACACCTAGCCACCAGGCCTTCAACAGCTCGAGCAAGTAAATCGTGAGTTATGCTTTTATTGACTTCCAAGTTCGTGCATGACTTTTAACTTCTGGCCTCAAGAGAGTCTTCATCACTGCCTTCCACAATTCATGCCTTCTACATAATGGTTTTTTAATCTCGTAAGAATTTATTGGCTGGTCGTCTAGTGATGAAAGTTATTTGCCACGCAGTTTTGTTAATTTTCTTGTAAAAATATTTCTACACCATAGCCAATTCTCTAAATTTATTTTCACCTATTCATTAAATCCATCATAAGATTAATGACTTATAGTATTAGTATTTTTTTTTTTATTTTAGAATAAAACAAAAATAATTTGCTTATTTTGCTAGCAACTATAAATTATGCCAACTAATAAAAATCAATTTCAATGTTATTAATTATTAACATTTTTGCACTTACTTTTGTGTTGGGGAGTGGGGTGTAGGACTGTAAATGGATCGGATATGGATCAAATCGGCTTATATCCTATCCGATCAAATAAGAAAATTATCTAATCCGATCCGATCCGATAATCCAACGGATATTTGATAATTAAATCCATATTCGATTTGCTATGTTATCGAATATTCGATTCGATAATCCGATTCGAAATTAATAAAAATTAGGAAAAAAATCAATGTTTTTTAAAAAAATTTGAATTAACTTGAGACCCACCTATTTTTACTAGCTAGCCTAATAGTAACTTCTAACATCATGATATTCCTTTTTAAAAGAGAGATCATCTTCTAGTTTTCTACTGAAATTTGATGTGGGATAGGGTAAAATTGAATTTCAATTCTAAATATAAATATTTTATTTCATTATTTCCATTAACAAATCAAATTATTTGTTACATATTAATTTTTAGTTTTTGAAATTGTAAAATAAATTACAATAATAAATTTAATTAAAAAAATATATAGATATTTATTTGCTTTAAATTAGTAAGCTAAAATTTAAAAAAATTTATTGTTTTTATAATATTTAATATTTATGTGTATAGTTATTTATTCAATTTGACAATCGATTCGACCCCGATTGGTTTTTTGACCATTGACCCTCTTCATTTTCGGGTCGATGACCGATTCGNAAAATTTTCAATTTTTTTATACTTTGAATTTGATTACTTTTTTTATTCTAAATTTATTTATTTTAGTGACAAATAATATGCCATAAAAATATTTTACCGACTCAATTATTTGTAACAAATCGAATCAGATTGTTATCGGATCGGATTTACTTATATCCATATTTGATTCATTTAGTTAACGGATTATCGGATTCGAATCTTGATCGTACTATCGGACTGAGACCCTAAATCCATCTCCCGTTAATTTTGTCGAATTCAGATCAAAATTCAATCCATTGACAGCCCTAGTGGGGTGTGAAGAGCATCCAACAACTTTTTCAATAGATGTGCTCCTATATTTATGGTGGGAAAAACCATACGTACATAATTTTTTTTACATATGTTTTACACCCACTCACATGTGTGGATCCCATCAGAATAAAAACGAAAAAAAAAAACTCACCCATCCCTGCATTGTGTGTATCTAATGGTGTTGTATAGAACCATGCTTCCGTACATGAAGCATGATTCATTCATGGATGATAGAATATGCTTTTCTTAATATTCTAATATTCGTAAGATACTCATCAAAAGCATCAGGTCATCTGAATATTATTCTCAATAAAATAAAGGATGGTGAGCCCATAATATTTTTACATTTTCATTATTATTGTGCGAAACATTACTATCTTTCATTTTTGGCATTCATCCCTAATTAAACATTTGATTGTGCAAAACGTCCATTTTGCCTATTTCTATCCAAGTGATGGGTATTCTCATCTTAGAATATTATCATCATCATCATGATCATCATCCCATTTGAACCCATTTTCTTTTCCAAAAAATATCATTTATGATCTGTTTGATTGACAAAGGTGGAACGACTTTCCAATTCTGTGTAAGTTGAAAAATAAAAACCTAAGTATCATAGGAATGCATTTTCCATGAAATTGACAAAAAAAAGTTTAAAATGGTTGTACCTTGGAATTCAAACTCTATTTTCACTTTTGTATCAAACAGTTAAAGTAAAAATTAAATTTATCGGATTTGACATTTTTCATGGAATTTAAACCAATCAAACAGATTTATAGACAAATGTGGAAAGGAATTCTAATTCCATGTTAGTTGGAAAACAAAAATCCAACAAACCCATATGAATTCGTTTTCCATGAAAACAAAGAAAATACAGTTTAAAGTGATTGTACTTTGGAATTTAGTTTCCATTTTCACGTTGCAATTAAACAGTCAACGAGAAATTCGTTTTCTTCGAATGTGACATTTTCCATGGAATTCCATGCTATCAAACAGACCCTTAATTTCTTCTCTAGAAATTTAAGTTTCGTGGCAGCTTGAGTACAATAGCTACAGGAAGCTCATTTTGAAATGGTCTTCTTCGTTTCCTTATCTAGTTTTGATTTGATATTGAGAGGTACAAGATCAATTTCCCTTTTCCATTGAGCCCTTGAAACAATCAATGAAATCTGGCTCAAAACTTAGGCTGGATTCCAAATTTAGTAGGAAAAAGTTAATAAAGGACGCAGGAACTCGATTAGGAATGAGAGTAGCAATGAAATACGGTTCATAACGCAAAATATACTTGCTTGAGACTATGAAAATAAAGCCTTAGCTCTAGCCCAAATTACACCAATTCCTGGAAAAAGTTTCTGATTTGATCAATATCTTCCGACTTTCTGATTCTTGGAAAAGGATAAAAACTGAATAATATATGAGTTGCTTCACTAAGGAGTAGGCAACGGGTTAGGTCGGGTCCACTTTTATCCAAACCTGACCAGACCCGAATTTTTTGATTTTGGGCTATTTTCTAAATCGAATTGCTCCTATCCTTAAGGGAATCAACCCGACCCGATCTGATTCGGTTCGATTCAGGTCGTGTCAGCAATTATTATTATTTTTTTGATTTGTAGCAAAGTGCAAAAAGATGATATCCAATAACATCTAAGAAATAAAAAATTCACTACTCATGTGATCTCAAAACATCAATTTATTAGGAGTGTGTTTGGTTGAGATTTTTGGGGGAAGAATTGATTTTTGAATAGTGATATGATGGGAAATGTGTGGTTGAAAAAGAAGAAAAAATTATTAATATGATGGAAAATATTATTTTATTGAAAAATGTGTGCTTGAAAATGAGANAAAAATATTATTTTATTGAAGAATGCGTGGTTGAAAATGAAAATTGATTTACTATAAAAAATGAGAATCTATACCAAACAGGCTCTAGAAACATACCATAAAATGGTGCAGCATATCAATTTTTTCCTCTATATAATATGTAGCAACCCAAACGTATGCAATTTGAATCTTTATAATAATAAAACCCAGAAGCATAACAGAAAACCATAAGATAGGATTAAAAGAAAAAAAGCCGTATCTTCTTGTATATGAATATGTAATGAACATAAACTGTAAATGATCATTTAAAATTCTCATTATCACTTAGCTCATCTTCAATGCTAGAAACATCCATCCTTGCTAAAGCTTGCTTTGCCCACTTGACAATCTTCTTTGCCTCTCTACAGATCTCTTCCTTCTCCTTCATAGCCCTTATCATCATCATTTTTTTTTTTGACATTTCGCGAAAAATTGCTCAAATAAGACAAAAAACACATTATTCTATTGAAATTGATGTGGTTGAAAATCGTCCCACGAAGCTGAAGATGGGGATTTCGATTCATTTTTTCCCATTTTCCTTTGTGGGTTTTTCTTCGAAGGAGGAAAACATTCATTCTCAAATGATGTTGTACGCGATACACAATTTTTACCATCTGGGTTTTTCTTCAACCTATTTTTAGTTGATTTTGAACCCATTTTCTCCTTTGATTTTTCATTTGAAAAATATCCTTTAATTTCTTCACTAGGGTTAACCTTTTTGGCTTCATTTATCAGATCCTTATTCTTGAATTTTGCGATTTTTGAAGAATTAAAGGTTTTGGTTGACAAAAAATCGGACTTTGATTTTTTTACTGGGAAAGATTTCAGCTTTTGAAAATAGGTTTCAAGGTGAGATGGAAGATCAGAATCATTGAAACCAGAGCAAATGGCAGCAACTTACTCAAGCACAGTAAACAAATCGGGTGTCCTCATCTTTTGTCTTCAACGCTAATAGCCGGAGAGGAGTAGGAAGATCAGCGACTACAGGAGGCTTAGTTCGAAGAAGAGAGAAGAGATAAGAAGAGAGAAGATTTTACGATAGGATTTTTGATATTGGGTTGGTTCGATTTAAGTGGGTTTAAACCTAGCAGTGGCAACGAGCCGAGCCGAACCGAGCCCGAGCTGAGCCGGGCCCGGCCAAAAAAAATGAGGCTCGGCCCGAGCCTTAGCGGGTTGAGCCGGCTTGGATTTTTTTTTCTTCTTCTTCTTTAGCTGCCTTTGCAGGCAGCTAAAAATAGCTGCCTACAGGCAGCAAGCTTGCTGCTTCAAATTTTTTTTTTTT